TTCCCCGGATGAAATTGGGGTTGAATTGGGGATCACTGGCATCGCCATCGAATCCTGCATGTTATCCATCGCATTTTCGTCACCCGGTCGCGGCACCAGTGGAACGGCTTCGACGTTTGATTTTGTTTGCCAACAGCGAGCCATCATATCTCCATTGCTGCTCGTAAATGATGACGAAGCAGATGTTTTATCGGATCCTTTCATTCTGACAAGTGAACCCATTGAGCCACCTTTGCCCTGCGAGGCCGACGGAAACATGTCGTTTGCAGGCGGAGACATCGTGGACAGTGGGTTCTCTTCGTTATCGCTCGGTTGAGAAGATGCGGTGGACAAACCCCGACTTTCGGTCTGTGTTAGATTCAATGGGTCAGATGCGATATCGCCATCACTCTGTGCAACTGCTGCGGGGGTCTGACCTTCAGGCTGCATTGGAGTCATTGGTGCGTGTTCCGAGGCGCCATCGTTGTATGTCTCAGCCTGTGAAGATATTCCCACCCCTGGCATTGCTATGGCTGCCGGTGGACTTGCAACGTCTTCCTCACTCCACGAGGAGACGGAAGTGGGATAGGCCCCGCCAGGTCCCATGTTTTCGGCAAGTGGATCCGACAGCACGCCTTCACCAGGCGCTGACATGGGAGGAGGCATTCCTCCATCTGATGCTATGTCGGGGGCCACCTCGTCAATCTCCTCTTCAATCTCGCCAGATGAGGAGGCGGCTGGCGTGACTCCAACAGCTGGAGACGTCGCTGGTGGCTCTTCCATCTGCTCAGAAGAAGGCACTACAGGGTCAGCAGGTGGAGCAGCCTTTTTAGCCTGGAAACTGGATGATATTTCAATATCCGTTCCGATCTCTGATTCCGATCCCGACGAAGAAGCTGATGATGATGATGATCCTGAGTCTGATGAAGCATTCGGTGTCTTCGGCTCTGTGGTAGTATTTTCGCCCATTGTGTCTGCGTGGAGGAAGGTATATCAAACAACTTAGCTAGTTAGTTGTAGGGTTTCAAATGTGCGTCATCTGTCTTGGTTATTCGCACCAAGCATCACCCAACTTGCTTCGATGTTGCCCGACTTGTCACGGACCATAAGCTAACATTCGCGCTTTGATCTAAAAACACCAGCTCGTCATCACTGGCACTGTGCATGGCTCATTTGAAACCAACACTTCATAATACTTTTATCTGACCGGTTTGCCAAGCCTTGGCTATAGTAGGAGATTGGTCAATAATCCATCATCATTTAAGCTGCATCAAAAATCGGCGGCTCACCTTTAGTGATAAGATTATTTTCAATGGCCTTGCGTTCTCCACCAGCAACAATCTGATGACAGTTTCCAACAGAACTACTTTTCTAAAAATGGCCCCTTATTCTCTCCTTGAACAATTCCGTAACAAACTTCTATAAGGGCTGGCAGTTGTGAACGTGTTTTTGACTAAGGGAAGCGTGGAAGCAATAAAATCTAATCAATATCAAGGTAGCAAAAGAGGTTCGTAGAGACAGCAGCATTAGGTATAGCAAGTGCCGTCCCTTGGAGTATCGCATTACACCGTCCACCACCTGTCAACGTGATATGTAAATGCAGAGTTCAATGCTTCTGTCTTGATGCCACGATGCAGCTTCGATGCCTGGCAAAAGGTGACGGAAGATGTACGCGGCTGCGTTGTGTGAGTTCAAATTCATTCAAGCAGATCATGCCGTCAGCCGATGAACATCTGGTTTTCGCAGGCCAAAAATCGATTTCGCCTGACGCCACGTGCACTTGCATCAGAAACAGCTTGCACAAAAAGTGCAAGGCATTACCAAGACATCGCTTGAAATTTGTTTGAGATTGTTGGCTCCAATGAGGGATCATGTCGCTGTTTAGGGACTGTACCCATTTT